TTTTTTTTTTTTTTTTTTTTTTTTTTTTTTTTGTTTTTCGCACCGAATATATGATGTAACTTTTGTTGAAGAATTGAAACATTAACTGACTGTAATACCCAGAAATTTTTCCAGTCTTCTTTCTTTTATTTTTATACCTTTTTTTTTTTACTACAACTTTTTTTTTTGCTAATAACTGTTATTGACAATACTTTAAAAGCATTTGTAATAACAGTTATTAGCAAACTTTTTTAAAGACAAAAAATAAAAACAATGAACGAACGACATGAGATTTTGCGCTTGATTAATATGTTGTTGTATATGTTACAAAAAAAAAAATGTTTGGTTAAAAGCACAATAGTATTAATTATAAATATTATTGTATCTGTTATACGTTTTTTTTCTTATTCTGTGAATTTGTTGTATTGAATGCAAAAATAAATACGAGATTACTACTTCTGTTGTTGCTGTGTTGTTGTTGTTTTCGTTGTTGTTGTTTCATTATACTTCTTTGCTCACCCAATTTACACTTACCAACATTGGAAACTTGTTTACTTAGACTTTGAAATAATTAAGTTTAAAAAGGTCATTAAACCAGTCAAAATTAGCGGGATCAACGCCTCTGATGCAGAGGGAATACAGAGGAAAAAAAAACGGCATTTGAAGATGATATAATTCAAAGCTTGTCTGAACGAGACATGCGCTTTTGGTCTTTCCACTTGGTTCTTCAAATCTTATCCGGATTTAAAGTGCCATAGATAAATTTCTTTACCAAAGCTTTTAGACACCCTTATCGTTTTTTAACTAAAAAAAAACTATTGACTGAAACGCTGCTTCAAGTGCTTTCTGGGGATTATCGCGATGCATCAATTTCTGGAATAAAGATCAACTAATACTTATGCTGCCTAAGCAAAGAAAAAAAAAAAAGAAATCAAAGAAGATTTTAAGAGTTCAGCGATGTTTGATTTTTTGTGTTTTTCATAACTGCTTCGTCAAAGAAACAGTTTGTTCAGTAATTTCTTTGTTTAGTGTTATTTCTGCTAAAAATGCTTCCAATAAGCAGCTAAGACTTTAGTTTCCGTTTTTATATAAGTATAACAGTTGTTTTACTTTTTAATCCCAGTGCCTTCTGAGGTTTTCCTGAGAAGAAACACAATAAAAACAAATACAACTTGTCTTCATCGTCTACATCTACTCAGCATACTGGAGACGATAATTCAGATGATTCGGCCTGCAAGCTCGCAAATTATCTTGTGTTTATTCTGAATATAGTGAGCTTAATTGAGTATTTTTATAAATTTATTCGTAACAGACACTTTTAAGCCGCTTTTTATGAAATCCGGACCTGCAGTAATTTCCCGCAGATACATAGGAATGCGAATCTCCAACTTTAGAAAACCAGGTTTTTGATAAACCTGATAATACTTTCTCATTTTTTCTTTTTCGTTACGTGACATCTCTAGTTGTGCCTTCAAGAGTCAGTATAGAGATCAGGCTAATATTATTTCTTGTTAACGCTATCAACTTACTGTTATTTCTGGTGAAGAAAATCTTTAGCAGGAATACGAAAATAGTAATACGAAAAACTTATCTTCTTTACCT